CGGGGCAGGGCGCGGGGACCTGGCGGCGGCGCCCGAGCGGCCCACTTTTATGTGCCGGCCGCCTGGGGGCGGAGCCAGCCGTCCCGCCCCCGCCCCGGGCGCGGTCGCTACGTGCCCCGCCGCTGCGGCAGCTCCCCGCTTGTGCAAGAGAAAGCTAGAGGACATAAAGGTGTCGGGTTTCGTATCAACAGAGGACAACCGGACTGTCCTCTGCGATGGCCGCCCTGGCGAAGCTTGGACCAGGGAGAGCCAGCACTGGCCCGCCTCTGCATCCACTCCCCAAAATGTATCTGCAGAGCAAGCCAAGGATACGCTCTCCACTATGCACAGCTCAGCGCACAACCCCGTCTTCCCTGGTTTAAAACGTATTGACCTCCTCCCACCCAGGTAGCCTGGGAAAGCCTTGTAGGTCCGCTTCATACTTTTTCTGGCTGGTGGCGTCTGCTTTCCCCGAGAGTGCCCGGCGTGCTCGGGAAGGCGGCACGCTCCAGATCGCGCCCGCGGCTCCAGGAAGCCCTTCTTGCAACGTCAGAAACGCCGCTCCGCTGGCTCTTGCAGAGCCCCCCTGCTTTACCGAGGGACAGTCGTGTGATAACAAGCGATCAGCCCTTGTATAAAGAAGTGCAGCTCTGCTGGCTTCCACACACACACACCGATGGCAGGGCCAAACCCGCCCTTTGGAATGTAAACACAGAGAAAGCTACTTTCAGACTGAAAGTCCACTCGGTTAAAGATCCTTTCTCTCTCCTTTTTAATTTTCCTATCATTTTTCCTCTTCGGTTTTTTTTTTTTACCTCCTTTTCATTTTTCTTCCTCCCTTGAATAAAGGTCACCCCCTTTGTCCTCTCATGACTAATGAAATAGTCACCACTTTAAATCATGAGGAATTATTTCTAAGTGCTTGTAATGAAGAATGGGCTTTTTTTGTTTCTTCTTTTATAAGACCAATACATGGATTAATCCTTTAGTAACTTCCACCTTGCATTGGCAGTCTCCCATTATTTGTGTTCCAAGAGGTGTTAATGAGATCTTATTATCAGCTCCGGTTAGAAAAGAGAATAGCTAAGTGGATGTCTGAGTAAATCTGTTTCCAGTGTGTAGAGTTCAGAGCAACAGTATCTCAGTTCAACAGGGCACTAAATGTCATTTAAATTTATAGAAAGACAAGTGTAGTCTTTACAATGGGTGGAGTTCCCCGGATGACTCTGCATTTGCTGGCCTGCATATAGATGGTGAGTTCATGATCTAAAACAACTTTTTTCCCTTCTATGCACACAACATGTCTACTTATTGGGCAAGCTTCACCAAGACCCCATCCAGCAACATGCTGAGCATGTGCTTAACTAAGCACATACTAAAGATTTTTGCTCCACATGCATGCACGTAAACATGTTTAAATGTGTGCTTCTTAAGTACTTTGCTTTTCTCATTCAGTGCCTAATTCAGTAACGAAGTAAGGACTCCATTGGTCGCTTCCTCTGTTTGTCTTTTTTGTATATTGTCTTTTTTATTGCTTCATATGCTCAGAAGAGAGATGTATACATGCAGTTCTGCTTTCTGACTTATAACATGCCCCTCCATGCTGCAATATAATGAGGTCAGTTAAACTACTAAGATCCATTATATTATATCTAAGCTATGCCCTTCCTCTACTTTGTTGATACTTCCTTTTATTCGTATCTTTGGCATGGGGATGGTACAGAGACCATCTTTAATGGATTTCAGGCAATACATTTACAATACAAGTCCCCATTTGGCACTCTAGGTACTACTGTAGTATACCTCATAAATCACTACAGGCTGTGGGTTAAAATGACTATGCAATACAGCTGAGCTGAAATCTCCTTACCAGCCCTTAGCATAGTCGAGCAAGGAAGAAAGGGGACTGTGCCTGTCCTGTGGCTCAGGGCACTGCGTTCTGAACTACCAGCCACAAGGTTGTGAGCCAAAATTGGGGGTGGCACCTGCAGTTCAGTCCAAAAAAACAGTGCTTGAAGCCACTGTGCTTTTTGCCCAGAGAAGTGGTGGAATCGCCATCCTTGGAATTTTTTAAGATCCAGCTATACATAGCCTTGGGTGGGATGATATACCTGGGGAGGGCCCTGCTTAGAGCAGAGGGTTGGACTAGACCACCTGCCAAGGTCCTTGCCAACCCTAATTTTCTATGATCTTTTTTTTATGATTCTAATATTTGGGCACCTATTAACCCAAGTCACTCTTTTTAAAAATGTAGTTAATATATTTTCTCAGAAAGGAAAGGAAAAGAAACAAAAGCAATGCAGTTTAGGGACTTCTGGGAAAGGAGCCATCCTTGAAAGGTTTATTTAGAAGAAACAGGATAAATTAACAACACAAGGGGCCTACATTAGTTAATGTGCATGAAGGAAAACCCTCTTCTTGCCCCTTGGAATCTCTTTAGCATGGCATGAAGTCCGCTCTTGTGCTCCAGTCCTGCTGCCTACAGCCAGCATCTGCAGGAGAAACTAAAACAAAGTATATTTACTGAGAATAGTTACTAGCGTTTAAACGGCAAAATTCTGAACACAGCATAAGACACAAGTATGCAAAGAGAGAGTTAACCATGTTAGTCTCCAAAGTCATGAATATTTTTTTATTTCTATTTTAAATGACATGATTTCAGAGCTGTTTTTCAGGTGGCTACTTGCAGTCCCTGACTGCATCACACAGGCAATGAGTAAGGCAGGCTTCCCACATGCTGACCCCATTATAAGCAGGGGAGAGCATCTCCGCATATGTGAGACCATATGCAGTTCCGGCCTCCACATCTTAAAAAGAATATAGTGGAATTAGAAAAGGTACAGAGAAGGGCAACAAAGGTGATCAGAGGTGAAGACTAAAAAGGCAAGGGGTCTTCACTTTGGAAAATAAAATGCTGAGGAAGGAAATAATAGAGGTCTATAAAATCCTGAAGGATGCAGATAAAGGGAATAGGGAACTGTTATTTATCAGATCCCAGAATACAAGAACTAGGGGGCACCAACTAAAATTATCAGGAGGCAGGTTTGAAGGACATAATTTATTACACCGTGCATAGTTCACTTGTGGAACTCATTGCCACAAAAAAGTTGTATAGGCTGATAGTATAACCAGGTTCAAAAAAGGGTTAGACATTCATGGAGGACAGATGCATTGGGATACATTAAACAGAATAATCAGGGATGTATCCTCTGCCATCCCTAAACAATTGATGACTGATGACAGGGTTTGGATTACCCTACACATGCTCCATTCAAATACTTCCCCTCTAACATATCTATTTCTTGCCACTATTGAATGCAGGAGACTAGGGGGAGAGGGACCACTGGTCTGGCCCTGTATGGTACTTATGAGGGCAGTCCAGCTTCCTGGACTTCAGATACTAGAAAACGGCACATCAGACTAATCTACTGCACAGTAATTTCTGCACACATGTAGACAGTGACACTTTACTGCGTATTAGATTATGCTCAGTAAAGTATCTTGTGTAGATGCTTCTACTGTGCCCTTTTACCATAGTTCTTGTACATTTCCCCTACCTCCTCCCTTGTTCTCAGTGGCTTGGTACACAGGATCTGGTCTTTTTCCGGCTGCTTCTGCCACTGTGCAGGCTCTCCAGGAGACACCATTTTGGCATCCCTTCTAAATTGGTCCCTGGGACCGGCACTTCACTCGCCCTGCCCTACTTACACTTCTGCCTCCAGACCGTCTTCTTGTGCCATCCTCTGCTGTTGTTTCTTCTCCAAGCTGTTCTCTGCTGTTACTTAACCTTTTTATTCACATTGCTATCAGCCCAGGCCATCAAGCCTACTAAGGCTTCTCAGTGGTTTCATTTGTCCAGATCAGCAG